CCCCCAGGGCCGGGAGGGACCCCCGGGACCCCTCCCCCGGCGGCGGAATGGGGGGGGAGCCCCCCGAAGGTTCCGGCCGTGCCCCCCCCCCGCAGGAGGCGGCCGCAGCTCCCGGCGAGGCAGCGCAGGGGGGCGAAGCTGGGGCTGAGGCACTGGCGAGGAAAGGGTTAAATGGATCAGAAAGTAGCCTGAAATGTCCTAAAGTTACCCCAAAATATCCCAAAACTCCCACCCCAAAAATCCCGGGATTGTAGACCCCAAAAAAACCCCCCAAAAAACCAAGAAAAGCCCCAAAAGTTCTCCCGGCGAGGCAGCGCAGGGGGGCGAAGCTGGGGCTGAGGCACTGGCAAGGAAAGGGTTAAATGGGTCAGAAAGTAGCCTGAAATGTCCTAAAGTTACCCCAAAATATCCCACAAAAATCCCAAAATTCTCACCCCAAAAATACCGGGATTGTAGTCCCCCCAAAAAACCCCAAAAACCCCGAAATATCCCAAAAAAAAAGAGCTGCAAAAAACCTCCAAAAAACCACAAAACAGCCCCAAAAAATCCTAAAAGAGCCCCCCCAAAAAAACCCCCAAAAAACCCAAAAGCCCCCTCCAAACAATCCCCAAAAATCCCCAAAAAGAGCCCCAAAAAAACCCAAAAAAAGTCCCAAAAGTTCTCCCGGCGAGGCAGCGCAGGGGGGCGAAGCTGGGGCTGAGGCACTGGCGAGGAAAGGGTTAAAATTTTGGTTAGAGAGACCAAAAATCGGGCTCAAGTGAAGCGGCGAAGCTGGGGCTGAGGCACTGGCAAGGAAAGGGTTAAATGGGTCAGAAAATAGCCTGAAATGTCCTAAAGTTACCCCAAAATATCCCAAAACTCCCACCCCAAAAATCCCGGGATTGTAGACCCCAAAAAAACCCCCAAAGAGCCCAAAAACCCCAAAAAAAGAGCTGCAAAAAAACCTCCAAAAACCCACAAAACAGCCCCAAAAAATCCTAAAAGAGCCCCCCCAAAAAAACCCCCAAAAAACCCAAAAGCCCCCTCCAAACAATCCCCAAAAATCCCCAAAAAGAGCCCCAAAAAAACCCAAAAAAAGTCCCAAAAGTTCTCCCGGCGAGGCAGCGCAGGGGGGCGAAGCTGGGGCTGAGGCACTGGCGAGGAAAGGGTTAAATGGATCAGAAAGTAGCCTGAAATGTCCTAAAGTTACCCCAAAATATCCCAAAACTCCCACCCCAAAAATCCCGGGATTGTAGACCCCAAAAAAACCCCCCAAAAAACCAAGAAAAGCCCCAAAAGTTCTCCCGGCGAGGCAGCGCAGGGGGGCGAAGCTGGGGCTGAGGCACTGGCAAGGAAAGGGTTAAATGGGTCAGAAAGTAGCCTGAAATGTCCTAAAGTTACCCCAAAATATCCCACAAAAATCCCAAAATTCTCACCCCAAAAATACCGGGATTGTAGTCCCCCAAAAAAACCCCAAAAACCCCGAAATATCCCAAAAAAAAAGAGCTGCAAAAAACCTCCAAAAAAAAAAAACCCCAAAAACCCCGAAATATCCCAAAAAAAAAGAGCTGCAAAAAACCTCCAAAAAACCACAAAACAGCCCCAAAAAATCCTAAAAGAGCCCCCAAAAACCCCAAAAAAAGTTATAAAAAGGGAAAAAAAGGGAAAGAGTGTAGAAAAAAAAGGGAAAAAACAGGGAAAAAAAGGGAAAAAAAGGGAAAAAAAAGGGGGAAAAAAGGGAAAAAAAAAGGGAAAAAAAAGGAAAAAAAAAGGGAAAAAATAAAAGGGAAAAAAGGCCACGCTGCGTGTCCGGCGCCGCCCCCGCCTCGCTCGTTTTTGAATTTGTTTTTCCCCCAAAATCTGAGATTTTTGAGTGGTTTTTTTACCCCCCCGGTGCTCCCGAATCTTGAGGATAAATTGATTTATTTCCGGGAGTTCTGCGGCCTCGTAAATGTTGGGTGAAGGGAAAGGTGATGCCCTCGATGTGGGGGGAAATAAATAAAATAAAATGAAATAAAATAAAGTGAAATAAAATAAAATAAAATAAAATAAAATAAAATAAAATAAAATAAAATAAAATAAAATAAAATAAAATAAAATAAAATAAAATAAAATAAAATAAAATAAAATAAAATAAAATAAAATAAAATAAAATAAAATAAAATAAAATAAAATAAAATAAAATAAAATAAAATAAAATAAAATAAAATAAAATAAAATAAAATAAAATAAAATAAAATAAAATAAAATAAAATAAAATAAAATAAAATAAAATAAAATAAAATAAAATAAAATAAAATAAAATAAAAATAAAATAAAATAAAATTGATTTTCTGTAGTTGGGCCGTCACAGTCGGGCTGGGAAAAAATCAGAAAAAAAGGGAAAAAATCAGAAAAAAGGGAAAAAAAGGAAAAAAATCAGAAAAAAGGGGAAAAAAGGGAAAAAATCAGAAAAAAAGGGGAAAAACAGGGAAAAAATCAGAAAAAAGGGAAAAAAAGGAAAAAAATCAGAAAAAAGGGGAAAAAA